TGACCAGTGATTTGCTGCTCATATTTTAATGAAGGAGCCAGACAATATTTCTCTGTAGCCAGTGAGAAAATCATTTGTACCAGAAATTGTGGAGGGAAGAAGAGGAGGTACTGGGGGATCTATTTATTTGTCCTTTTAGGGCATATTCAGATGAACACAGATGTTTGTCTCCCCAAGTGTTCCCCAGTGGCACACCTTTTGCTGCTGCTTCTTGTCCCCAGGGAATGCCCATGCCATCTGCACTCTGGTGTGCAGCAGGGTACCCTGGGTGGGGTAGGGGAGGCTGGGGCCAGCAACTGTACCGGCCCCAGCAGCCTTACCTGGGGTCCTGGGGGCCTCCCGGGGCTTCAGCCATGGCAGGAAGCCTGACCAGCAGCCAGAGTGGGACTCTGGCCAGCCAGGTTCCCACTTTGGGTGGCAAATGCTGCCACCATGTGCACTATCCAACTTTTTTTGTTGGCGTGGGTTTTTTGACCCTAGGATCTCCTGGGGCCAACCCCCCCCCCCACAGACTGCAAAGTAGCAGTGCGGGAACATCTTCACATGCAGTGTGTGGCATGATTGATGGGCCTTCGGCACAACATACCACACATCCATGCTCATCTGGATGCAGCCTTAATGTTTAAACAAAAATCTTTTTGTATGTCTGAGGAAGAAGGCAAAAGCAATTAGTTAAATATGTATATTATATCAATTGTATAGAAATAGTTACACATACATACATGTTTAGATATATATGTAATGTATGTTAAGTAGGTACAGTCCATTATATATGCAGCTGCACTTTATTGGAAATATCAGTTCCTTCAAATAAACAGTCTATTGATAAACTAGAGCAGAAATCCACTGGTATAATTAGATGTCAGGGGCAAGAGAAGAAAGGGTCGTATTTTACAAACCCTCCCTTGGAAAGGTTCTTCCATTCCATGCAATCAATCCCATTCCAAAGCTTTATTTCCCAAAGAATTTGTATAAATCCCAGAGATCATTCATCTCTGGAAGGGTTGATTTAGCAGAATCCAAAAAACAAGGTTATTCAGTTAGAGATAAGAGCAGCAGCAGAGGTTCACATCTGTGTGTTGAATTTAAGTCCCTTTTGCTCAAGTCATATATGTGTAACATTTCAAAACTGTGAAACTAAGCACATCTTGGAGAAAAAAAGCACAGTGAATCTGACCACATTTGAGATTCTTAGATAAAGCTTCTGAGAGTAAAAGCATCCCAGCAAGAACCTACTTAGAATTAGTCACCTAATACTCAAAAGACAGACAATTCTAGGGTTGAAATTTGAATCAGTAGAAACTGCACAAGTTTTGTCATTGACTTCAGTTGGGCTTGGATTTTAGCATTGGTGTATTTTCCTCTTTTTTTTGGAAGACAGTGAATTGCATTGATGAATACAGGGGCTCCTGGACTGGACTCAATGTTTGTTCCTGGCTTCATTTTAGAAGTGTCTCATATATCAGGTAGTATGGACTTCAGATGGTACCAAATAGAGCGTGCCTTCAAGTCAACAGAAATACTCTCATTGACTTCAGTAGGCTTTGGAATAGACCCAGCCTAGATTGATAATGAAAGAAACAATTGTATGATCTTCTTATTGAAAAAATGTTTCTGAAATGTCATAAACAAGCCATTTACTCATAGAATCATTATTAAAATAGCACTGAAGAGGACATCTAGTCAAACTCCTCTCAAGATCCCAAATCAAGTAGATACACAAGCAATCTGACACCATTGGGTCTGCTCATGTGCTTAAAGTTAGATGCTGAAGTTCTTGCTAAATAAAGCTTTCATCACTGAGTGAAAATTGTGCCATGATTTTTGCTTTGAGTGATAAACTCTTTGACATGAAAGGCATCCCACATTTTCTTTTATCTTCTCCAAGGGATATATGAATGACTTGTTGAGCTTCCCCTCCGCTGGTGACCTGAGATGACCCGAATTAACTATGATGTACTGCGTGGAAAACATTCCTTCCAACTGGTCCTCCCCCATTCCTCACTCTTAATTTATTGGCCACCCACCCCTTGTTCTTCTTTTTGTTTTTGTCCAAATTTTCCCATTTCTAGCATATGTTTTAAGATTAAAAAACACTTCTTTGGCAGACAGAATAAACACTGTACCTCAACAGATGTTTTTAGTGTCAGTGCAAGAAACGGCCACACGCTGATGTGGTTCTGTTTGGCATCATTTCTTGTCTGGAGAGACAGACACTGCATGAATATATATTCATTTTACTGCTGCTTTCTTTTTGTCATTGGTATTTTTCTCCCTTCATTCTCCTGTCATGATAGCGCAGCAGGTTTGGTCATGTTGTGCGACTTCTCATTTCTTGGCTTATGACTCCTTTTTATGATTCCCCGTAGCCCCATTTTGAAGCCTCAATTGACCTGAATTTACCTTGTGATTCCTCTCCCTACATACCAGATTACAATATACTATTACCATGAATGCATTCCCAAGATCGATCTAGCCTTTACCAACTCTTTCCATGTATCTCAGTATCACTACTGCTCTCCAAAATGTACTGCTATGCAGGCACATGTAGGGCCTCCATGAGTAATATCCACACATTCATCTTTTTTTTTATATATTTATTCAGCTGGTCATGTTCTTACAAAAATCTTATTGGAATCTTACTTGAAACCAGGGGACAAATTATATAAGGGTAAAATAAAAATATGTCTTTTGTGAAGGCACAGGCCTGATCCAGAAGAACCTCTGTTTAAAATCTCCATCCTTTTCTACATGTCTTCAATTCCAGAATCTGAACAGATTCTGATGGTTTTCAGATGTCAGGGAAAAGTGTACTGCAGGTACTAGTGTCAGGCAGCAGTTATGTGGAGCTGGGGAACTTCATTCTGGAGGAAACCAGATAACCTGGCAGTAGACAATCATGCTTGCCACTATGAAAATCTCCATTGACTAAAGGCTATCAAACGGTGGTATGTGTTTCCCTAAATCTGCAACAGGAAATAACTGTGGTACCTCAGATACTATGATGTAGTAAATGCTAGCAAATGATGACTTTTCAATGGCAACCATTGTGCATGATAGGAAGGATGTTGATTTTTTTTTGTTTTTATTCAACTCTAAATAGAAAAATATCTAGGTGAGCGCCAGTAAGTACATGGAGAAGAATCAGGGGAATCTTCATCTTAGACAAGCAAATCATGATGGGCCTGATTTTCAGGGAATCTGTGCACCTGCAGCTTTCATTGACTTGAGCAGCAGAGAGACATTCAGTGTGAGTTTTTCTGTATGGGTTATAATATGGCTGTGGAACATTATTCAAAAGGTGGAGATGGTAAAAGTGCAAGTTAACTGGGTAGCATTTTGAGGACAGTTTTAGATCCAATGCAACAGGCACAAATATGCCATCTGTTTGTGTCAGGCATACATCTAATTTTTCCAGCTGTTTTTCTCTCAAGCAAATATTTATCTTGGAAAAAGGCAGGGAAATCCAATTCTCCACTTGTGGTTACATTTCCTTTTGTCTGCAACATGTTCTCTGGGAGAGGTGATGCACAGCAGCTTCTTTTTCAAACATATGTCTGGTTCAGTGGGAGGGTGATAGGTGGGGCAATCAGAAGAACAAGTAATAATGTTTAATAACCTTTTGTATAACTACTGCCCTTTAGTCATTGTAATTAATTTCTAAGGAACAGATCCTAAGACATACTAGACAACTGCAAGTCAAAGACAGACCACCTCAGTGTCTAGCTTAGGAAAGAGTTCAGAGATACACCCATTCCCAAAAAGGTTGCCTTACCAGACAACGGTGAAGTAATTGTTCTAAGGGTGTCAACAAGAGGCACCATCAGGACAATTAACATGCACAAACGATAGTGATTTTGCCTTAGTCAGGGCCAACTCCTAATCCCTTGATGAAAGACCAAGTAAATAGGACCTTCAGGGAGTCCATATGCCAAGGCAAGAATTGGAGCAGCACCCCAATGACAAAGGCTAGGGACAGAAATTACATAAAATAGGTAGAAGTGATCAGAAACCAGTTCAGATCTGTAACATAACATAAGTTCAATGCACATAAACCACTTTCAAAATGACTGAAACTGGTTTAAGATAAACCTATGTGGATGTACTATCAGACTTAACTGATTTAGGTTAAATCAGTCTATTGAACTTCTCTCCCAGATCCCCTCCAGATTCAAGTTAAACCACAGTTCCCCAGCATCCCAGGATGCTTTTCACCTCCCCTGAAAACCCCACCCTCACAGGATGGGCAGGAAAGCCTTGGCCAAAGCTGCCTGTTCCAGCTAAGCAGGGAGGGGTGCTCTGGTACCCACCAGCTTCTGATCTGAGCCACTGCAGGCATGTGGCTGCATTTCTGGAATCAAAACTGAAGGTCTGTTTACTTGCTAATCAGTTCAATCCACTCGTTTTAGACTAACCTGCAAAGATTGAATCAATTCAGCCACAGGTTTTTTGACTATCTGTACTTAGCCAAGAAGATAAATTCTAATCTAGGGCCCACCATTGCAGTTCTTGGCATAGTGAAGCAGCTATACTTGGCCTCACTCACTGCAAGAGTTTGGCAAAGGCTCCCACTCAGTTGTGAAGTCAGAGGTCATGTTGTGAATTGACATAGAGTATACCGCAGATTCATAAAGGAATTGCAGCAGATTTCTCTACCCTCCCATCCTGCCATTGATATCTTACACTTGGTCTGAAAGTATGGGAAAGCCCCCAGACCTTTCATTTTAAAAATGAACAAACAGATCACTGTTAGCCAGTAAGGCAGCAGACATTATTCAAAATACAAGCTAACCAAGTCATGTTTTGATGACAGTCCTAAATCCAGTGCAAGAGGCACAAACAATCCATTAGCATCAGGCGTATGTCACATTTTTCTAGTCAATGAAAATATGAGTCCAGACCTCCAAAAAATGACTGTTGAAAACTCACTGATGATAAATAGCATACTGTATTTTATTAGGTACAACACAATTTTGTTTTCCCCAAAAAAAGCTGCTGGAAATTGTAGTGCACGCAACATGTGAGAAATATGGTATCTGTTTCTGTTGGTTATGGGCAAAAGTAAAAGTAAAATCTGCACTTAACTCACAGGGAGCAGAACAACAAGCAGACTGCTCCATAGCTGCTGCTGCTCAATTACTCGCTGCACAGAAATATCTTTTTTTCTTCATTCTGGATTTCAAAAACAAGGTGGTATTATAGTCTGGGGCATGTTAGATGCAACAAAATGCAGTAAAGTGAAATCCTGCTCAAAATCATGATTCATGTGGAACATTTTTAAAGCCATGAACTGAAGTTGGGCATCTTTCCCCAGGTCCATCAAATGCCTGTACAATGTAATATCGCTCAGTTCAGATAGAATTTTTCACCTGTAAGTGTTACAAAGACGGGTAATTATCACTCAACAATGTTGTATTCTATTTATTTACAGCATGGAAATTTCAGGATGATAATCATTTAGAACATGGAGAATAAAGGGATTTTTTTCTTTATGGTGATGTAACTAAATTTGAATCTGCCCCCCATCTTTAAGCTAAATACATAATCAACACTCTCCCTGCCTATGTAAAGGGCCAACTGTAGCTCTGTAAATTCTAAAATAACCTTGGATAATTTTACATTAATGTGACTTGAAAACCAAGTTACATTTTATGATTTTATGTAATAGGTCATGATCCTTCAAATATTGAAGCGCTTGTTTATAGCTTGGTGTTTAATAACTTAGTGCATTAAACACTTTCCACTCCCAGTTCTTGGAACAGGGCTGGAAGTTGTGCAAAGGACTGCCCTGGTATAGTGCTGTTTGAGGTCTGATGACAGCTGAAATGGTTTTATATTTCTGAAATATTAGTAGTCAGCAATATTAGAAATATCCTGAAAATACATGATTGGCTGCTGTGTATATTATCATCAGGAGCAAAGCTCTGGATAAACATTAATTACAGTTGTCAAACTCATCCTAGCTTTGTTTTTTGATTTGTTTTGTTTTGTCTACTACTTACTTCAATTAATTTTTGTGTGTTTCTGATTTAAGGTGGGTTCCCATCAAAGGTCAAAGGTGTCCCATCACAGGACAAAGCACAATATTGGCAAGTCATATCCAGAACTGTGTGGTGCCAACCTACATAGATTATGCTGTGGTTGTAAGCTAGGGCTAACATTTTCAGTGTTTAGTTACCCTGTTAGGCATATGTATTTGATTTTATCCAGTTACGCTAACAGGCACTGAAGATGTCCCACATCTCTGAAAACTTGGGCTTTTGTTTAGGCACCTTTAAGTGACTAAGTTGAAGCAGCCAATTTGGCAAGTATGTAAGTTAGCTATGAAGGGCCTTATTAAAGCCAACGGGGGTTTAACAATGAAAATCAAAGGAGGCGGCTTGAACCCAAAGAAAGGGTTGTATAATAGCTTTTATTTTGATATTACTTTTGTTCAGTAAACGATTGAAAGCACAAGCTAATAAATCTTCTAATTAAGGCATTTACCAATATTACAACATTAATGTTGGGATCAAAACAGCAGAGAGCAAGGCAAATATGAAGGAGGAAAAGAAACAAAGACAAAGGAAGAAATGGGGACAGCGGGCTGGACTTTGTCTCTGTCAGTGTGGTTCTTTCACCCTTTCCAACTAATTCTCCAGGGCACCAGCCTCGGCGGCAGATTTCAAAGGTGTTGACAAGCCTGGCAGATACACTGATTTCCATTTCTTTTGTCAGCATCAGTGCCAGGCAGCTGTAAATGTCTCAGCATTCTTTACTTCATGAACATTTCAGGATTAGTATAGACTCTTGCCTATATTATGTAATACATAGGCTCCTGCAGGCAGAGATGGCTTGGTAGGTGTCTCCAACCTATGAAGACATAACGTTTTCAGTCTCTAAACCACAAGCTTGGTTTCCTTCGCTAAGATAAAAAAGGAAAAAATGATAAATAGTTTCAGAAAAAGGGAAGCCACTAAGTATACCCAGCAAGATCAGTCATGGTACAGCCAGAAGCATATCACAGCCTAATTCTTGTGCAAGGAGATAGCACCATTAATATTGCATAAAGATCAGATTATTTTTCCTCCCTTTTGCAGTTGTAGCAAGCAGGCATTTTCCCCCAAACCTCACCTTCCTTGCTTGAGGTATCTCCTTTCATCACAATGACCAGGTTTTGTCACAGGAACTCAGCACTATGCTGTGAGCAAAATCCAGTTAGAAGGGCTTTACCCATGGGAACTACTGAAGCATGTCTACATGGCATCAAATAGTGCTAGGAAGCATTGCTCTGAAAATGCATCCTGCCCATTCACTCTATCTGCACACATCTTATGCCAAATAGCATGTAAGGTAGCCATTCCAGTGGGAGTGCTAGAGTCTGTGGCACTGCGTGTGCCCAAAGGTGTATCCTACTGAAACTACATTTATTCAGCACTGGGTATGTGTGCAGCATGAATAAATGGGCAGGACCTATTTTCACAGCAGCACGGTTAGCACCATGCAGTTCTGTGTAGACATGTCCCACAAGCCCAAGAGACAGAAATCTCCCACTAACCAGGCACCCACACAACCAGGCCACATGGTACCTAAATTTAGGGCCACAAGACACTTCAGCCTGCCCCTAAACCTATTTGCTTCTATAGACAGCTGTAGTTTTTGTGATATGTAAGGGGCAAAAAATCCTCTGAACCACCTCACTAACTCTTGCTCTGTTTTTCCAGTTAAAATACAGCTTTTGTGCCACACTATTAGCCCAGCACACCTGTAGAGGGAAGATGAGGTTTTGGCTCAAGGGCAGTAACTCTTCATTGCTGGGTAGTTGTGGTCATTATGTACATGATCCTGAACCACTGAAATAACTGGAATTTTGCCACTGACTTCAATGGAGACTGGAACAAGGCCTATTTTGGGTAACTTCATGTCTCATATATTACAATAACTGTCTAATGAACAGTGTCTTAGAGGACTGCCATGTCTTTAAAGTATAATTTATTCTATAATTGTATAATTTATTGTGTTTGAAGCAGCAAAATAAAAATGCAAAGATGACAACATTACTGCTGCTGTAGCTATATAACTTTCTCTGGAAAACATAGTAATAAAGGTGAACATTAATTTAGCTTTCTTCAATATTTCAAAGCCTCCTAAAATCTTAGAAAGAAGCTTTTGGCTTTAAGTCTGCCATGCAAAGTTGGTGACAAGACGGGCTAAGAGTGAATGCTTTTTCAAGAAGTTTTCTTAAATAAAAATAGCTAAGGGTAACAAGCATCTAGTCTCATTTATGGTAATACTTATTTTGAAGGGAAAAAAAACAAGTGTTGCCCTGTCCAGTTTTGTCCTTGAATAAAACCAAAACTGCTGTTTGTTTTGATGCCTCAGGAAAAAAAATAGCCCCTGGGGCAATGCAGAAAGAATTAAAAGTTTTAACATTACTGTTTTTCATTTCTAGTTTTCCATCTTCCCAGCAGGTGCCAATAACTGAAAATGTATCCAGTGATTCTAAAACACAATGTTTTCTAAAACACATGGGGTTGAATGACAACAAGAATTCCTTTGTTATCTTATTTATTTTTCCACGGACTCCTTATTAACTTGTAGTGCACTGTGCATAATTTAGATTGAAAATAATCTAGCTATGGACATGTGATTTTGTCTAATTGGTCACTTTATGCCAGTTGAGTCAGCTAACTCTGCATTTCAATTGTATGTTATATACAGAACCCTTGTTATGTAAATAATATTTTGAAGAAAAAGACATTAATAGATCCCCTTCCACCTTTCTCAGCTACTCCTCTTGCTTCTGTCTAAATAGCTGCTTGTAGATCTTAAATTAATTGGAATGGGAAATGCCAACACTTGAGTTCATTTGCTGCAATATATTGAATGCATGTCAATCAACCATTACTATGCATCATATGTACTAGCATAAAATCAGATCTTACCCTCTCCACCCCATCCTCATTAGAAACATAGTAAGTTGCCTTCAGAAACACATGTGATTTGGGGAAAAGATACACCTGATTCCAAAGCTATGCCACAATCCTATCACCTGTTCTTCATGAATAGCCTGGAGCCCCACTGAAGTCATAGATTCTACCTAGATGGTAGATATTACAAAGATTAGAGCATTAGGCTAAGTTTTTCAAAGCAAAGAGCCTCAGTTTCTGCACACCCAGCTAGGGACACCTTTAATGAGATTAATTTTAAGAAGAGCTGAGTTGTGAAAAAACAGGCCTCTTTATAACACTTCAAGTTGGGTATGTTGACAGAGTGGAATCTAAATAAAGGGGCACTTACAAGTGCTGGTCACTTTTGACAACTTGGTTTTAGTCTCACTCATTAGCAGGCTCACACAACAAGGGCAGTACATGTGTTTGCCTACAAAATGCATGTGGCAATTACATATGATGATTATTTCATATGCATAATGAGCAAAAGAAATGGTGGTATGATGTGCCACTGTATTAGCTTCAGTATTAACACATGGGGAAGCCATAATTGAGGTTAGGATTTCAACCCAAGCCATCACAGTTAAAGCTCCATTATGTACTCTGCATAAGTAGTGGGGAAATGTACCTTTAAGAGGCTCTGGCCTGAGCCAGTTGGAACCAGTTGTTATGTTATGCAGAAGCTCATGTTATGCAATGCTGATCACTCAGGACACAGGCACTGAATGAAGCAGACCTCTGTCAGACTTCTTGGCTCTGAGTACTAATGAACAACACATGGTTCCAGGAGTAAAATAAACTAAGAAAATCCCTTGAGTGGAAGAACAGAGCAATTAAAAGTCCCAGCAGAGCTGAAACTCTCTGGAAATGTAGGGACAACAGATGTAGGTTGCAGCAGTACTATACTCCACCAGAAAACAGGGGTGACGGTAAAAGGAAACAGTCAGAAGGCAACTTGATTTCTGAAAATAGCTAGCTTTGAAGTACTTGAAAGTTTTAATAGTTTTCAGTCAATTCAGAGTAGACTAGCTATGAAACTGTGGGCAGGGGCAGATGAAACAGTTGTACCAATTTAAAGGTGGAGAACTTAGTATAGCGCAGCTGATTCTGATAAAACTCTTTCTTCTGCCCCATTGTAACCCACAGGAAATGAAGCCAGCCAGTAATGATTTTCTCCATCACATTCAAGGGTAAAGTACTATACATTCACTTTTTCTTGCCATAGTACAGATAGGTGGAACAGTTTTATTGAGACATCTGATGCACGCTCCTATGGAATAAATCCCCTTGAACACTTTAAAATGAGGCAGGTCCATGCCTTGTATTACAGAACTTTCAGGAGTATTCAAATTCCATATAAGAATGAAGCATAGGAGAAAGATGTTCTTGCACAGATGTTCAAAAGAAGATGAAAACAGACAAGAGCATTCAAAAAATCTAAACCTGAGTGACCTTTTTTGCAATTTTTGTAACACCCTCTCTAGTGAGAGACAAGACCATGACTGGGGTCAGGGACAAATTTCTCAGAGGCAAGACCCAGAATTAATCCTGGACAAAACAACTAAAATTTGGCTACAACCTATACCCCAAGAAAAGGAAGTCACTCAGTCCAGGCAGGGTTTTGTCACACTTGATATTACAGAGAATCCTAACTACTGCAAGAAAAGAAACAAAAGCAGAGAGGCAGGTGGAGCTCAGAGGTGGAGTCCACAAAAAAACATTTCGAGTAGCACATGTTGTAGCAAAAACCCAAAGCCAAGACAATGCCTGGAATTTTAAAAAAGGAATTGTAACGGATAATATAATTCAGCAAGACTTACCTCATGCCAGGAAAGTGTGCAAAGTGTGGACAAAGAGGATGATGACAACACCATTAGCTCAAAAGAATTCTTCATAGGAACAATGGGAAATTGTGGCACCAGGTGACTAGATTACCAACCTTAAAGTAAATTAAATGGATTTATTTAGCCAATCTGGACTGAGCTTTGCAAGCCAACAGGATACTAGAAGCAGTGATATCAACAATAAAAAGCCACAGGCAGTAGATGATAAACAAGCAAAGCACACAGGTCATAATGATGAATTAATCCATGCTAAGGGAGAATTTGAACAGACTAAAAACTTGAAGAAATCTAGAAGTATCAAGGAACAAGTACTCATTATTGGGTTCAAAATATGTCAAGTTCATGGTCTTACTAAGAGGCCACACTGACTGGAGGGACAGAGAAACAATGATCGACAAAGAGTTGGAAAATTTCCATGGAATAGGGAAGCTTTTAATATAGTACAGAATGGAGTTGAAAGATTCCCGTCATTCCACAATTCATGCCCTTGCATGAGTGACTGGTGCCTCCTGAATCTGGGGGGCACCCACAGAAGCCGCCGATGGCGGTGGCCCTGTCAGTGGTGGCACCAGCCCTACCAACAGCATCAGTGTTGGCCATCGGGGGGGCATGTGTACCCCCTACCTGTTGCCTATGTGCCCTTGGTTCCTCTAGTCTTAAGGCAGAGGCCAAAAGAGGAGCTAGACAAGGTTATTATTCTGGAAATCACAGATAAGGAGTGTAACCAACACTGTCCCATTGTGAAAAAATCAAAACCTTCATTTTCATGGAGACCCAAAATAAAGAAATAAATATATGAAAGGGAATGTTTTCCACCACCTATACGTGGAAGGATACTTGGGGAGATGGACAATGCCACATACTTTTTTACACTTGGTGTATTAGCAGTTTTCTGGCAGTTGAAAAACAGAAACATGCATTTACCCAGATGCAACACCTTTTTGGGGAAACACTGTTTTCTCAGATGGCTGTTGGGGTTGTATTCAGTCTGGGGGTGTGTTTTGCAGGAAAGCACAACAAATGATATGATGGCTATGATGAAGCTATGAAGGCTTCCACCTTTGACACTGTGCTCTGGGGACAATAATAGAAGAGCATGACCAGAGGCTGTGAGTAGCTTGGGAAAGAGCCAGAATAAAAAATGTAAAATCTATTTAATGCAAATGTCATAACAGAAAACAGATATGGATTTCAGCAAGACTGACTGACACCATGTCCACTCCAACAAACAAATGAAGGGGGTAAAGATTCCTTGAAATTGCAAATTATGTAGAGAAATTTGTGGCTAATTTAGCTACCTGAACCAACAACCTGAGAGCCCTACTGTGCAAAAATGTGAAATGGACCTAGGGTACGAATCTTAATAAAGAGTTTCAGAAAATGAAGGAGTTAATTAAAGAGGACCCCAACCCTGAAATATTATTAGAGTATGTAGGTCCCAGGTGTCTATAAGGAATGCATTGGCCCAGTTGTCTTGCAAGAGTACGGTCAAAACAGGGGAACAGTGGCTATTATACCATGCACTCTAAAAGAAATTTCTCAAGTAGAGAAGGATGCTTTGGCCTTAGTCCATGCGTGTAAAAAGTGTCATGTCTTTATTTACAGGAGAACAGTATTAGCTGAAACTTGTCAGTTATTGTCAAAACAAACCTAGCACTCGTCCCCCACAAGAATAGAGATTATGTTTTCAGACATAAATTTATGATTTGCAAACTGATAACAAAACTTGGAGAGTTTTGGTGCTTGTAGACACATTCTTCAGAGCACTTGGCAAAAGTGCAGTGGAGCAAAGTCCATCTGGTTATGTCAATTGGATATGAAAACCTGCACCATCTCAGACAAAACATGGACTAACGCTATGGAGCTGCTGATGCAGATGAGACTCTGCAGAAAATAATTAAGGCCATTAGCACAGGGCGACTGGGCCGAGATGTTCCCAGCCCCTATTACTAATTTATGCTAACCTCAAAGGAACAGCAACACTGAGGAAGCTGTTAAGACTTGTCACATATGTTTGCTCAAGCAGAAAAGAGAACGTTGGTGGCAGAGGAAAAATTGGCCCCCTGGAGCAAAATAGGCATACATTTGTTTATGCTGTCTGGAAAAAATGATGTACTTATCCTAGACTATTATTCTCACTTCCTTGAGATAGTCTTATTAGAAGATACTAAAGCTAAGCAAGCATGCATATCAAATCTGTTTTCACCAAATATAGTCTACCTGACTTAGCAGTGTCTGATAATGGGCTCAGTGTCTGATAATGGGATACAGTTTCCTGGGCATAATTTTAAGCAGTTAGCACTGAAATACAGGTTTAGATGTGTAATTGCTAGTCCTCATTATCCCTCATGCAATGAATTGGTAGAAAACAATGTCAAAATAATAAAGTACACACTGAAACAAGCTGAGGACCCTGATCCTTCTGTAGAAATGTTAAAATACAGAGCAGCACCAGTGAAGCATGGGCTGTTACCTGCTGACATTCTGTCCAGCAGAAAACTGAAAGAGAGAGGCAGAAGAGGCGAAACAAAAATCTCTGTAGGAGCTGATCCCACTCCATAACTACAATAATAAACATTGCAGCAGTAATCTCACAAGACATAGCCCCACCATACTATGAAGACAGGCACATATTGAGAAAGAGGTGAAACTTTCTCCAAATACCAGAAGGAAGGGAGCTCAGAGCCACAGAGGCAACAGCCATCCATTTGCCCAAGAAGACCTCAGGGAACAACTGCATCAGTTTGGGAACTAATTCACTTACTGCTGCTTGAGAACAGTCCTGCTGTCTCAGGGGAACCGCTGGTGCATGAGACAGCACAAAGTCGCTCAGATTCACTGAACACTGCTAGTTGATTTAGTTAATAAATTGGATAGAAGTATATTTAACGAGGAAGGTGTGGGGAATGTACCTTTGAGAATATGAAACTAGTTTCTGTAGTATGCTGAGGCTCATCTGACTGCCATGTTGACCAGTTCAAGTATGGACTCTGAAAGAAGGAGATCTCTGCCCAGCTGCTTCAGTGAGTGACTGCTAAACAACATATAGAGCACTTCGGGTATATGAAAACTAACCTGAAAATATTTTAGAAAGTTTTAAAGTATTGCATTCGAGTTATTTTTTGCATCCTTCCACATAGAAATCCATAAGCAATCATTCCTGAGAAGGTGCCTCTAAATACCACCTAAAATAGTTTTCTTCACTGAAAAATATGATTTTTAAGTCCCAGTAGCTTATTTAAAAGAATCATCAGGGCACTTTAACTTTAGCTGGTAATGGTCTAAGAGCTGTTAGCCCATTGGGGATGGCCTGAGCACAGTGAGCCCCAATCATAAATTCTTTAATGCTTTATACTTCTGACTTGGTGTTTTTTGTGACTCTTCCCATTATCACTTACCTATACATTTGACTAAGGGTTACAGCACCATTTTAAGAAGCAGTAGAGCCTCTGGCTTATGTGGATTCATTTGTATCTTTATTTAAAAACTAAACCAAAGAAATCTAACTCCCACCTAAGTTCCACTGCGATCAATATTGACTCTGAGAGGTACCTGCCATTCAGGTAAGTCACCAATGTCTTAGGTGCCTGTGGAGCAGGGGCGGGCAATTATTTCAGACGGAGGGCTGCTTATCAAGTTGCAGCAAGCTGTTGAGGGACGTGTGGGTAGCCCCGCCCTTTGACAGGTGTCCCGCCCCCTGGTCACCATCTTGGGACCAATGTCCCAATGTCTTGGGACCAGTGTCCCAGGGCCAGCACCAGTGGGGCCCAGAGCAGATTGCAGGCTGGCAGGGGTCTGTGGAGTCGGGCTGGGCTGCACCAGCAGGGACAGGGGGGGAGCTGGCTCAGCTCCATAGAGCACCTGCTGCCCGGGACCCCTGTACTCCTGCTGCCCTGCTCTGGGCCCTGGGACATGGGTGTGGGCCCTGTTCCCGCACCCGCTCACACCCAGTGCCCCCCAGCCCCACAGTACAGGCAGGGGACAGCGCGCAGCCCTGACCCCTTGCTCGCTGGCAGGGAAGGAGCTGGTGCTGAGCATGGGGAAAAGCGGCCCCCCGCGCACCCCGGCGCCGGCA